ACAGAGAATTTTCTTTAGTTTATCCAAATGTTTTTTTATTGTTCTGAGATAAGATTAATGTAGCAAGTATTTCACATTCTAACCTCTTATCTATGCTCATTAACTGTAAAGTTTAACACTGGAAGGATTATGGACTTTTTTTTAAAGCAAAGCTAACATATCATTAGAAAATGAAAGACAGACTTTATTTAATCAGTATCGCTTCTAACATGAATAGTAGGTAGTTAAGTAATTAAATGAGTGTATTTTAGATGGTGGCAATCAACATTGGTCATCGCAAGGCTTCTATTATTTATCTTAATATATCTTCATTTGTTATACTTCTATTGCTTGTGTGTTCTTTCATTTTATTGCATTTTGTGGATGTAAAATCTTTTTTTGCCTCAAATTTTTCAAATGAGTTGGGTATTATTTCTGAATCTCCATATGTTAGGTAAATCAATAATTTTTACTGCTTGACTATTTTTTCACAGCATCTATTGGATCAAAGTTGTACTATATGTAGGTGTAGAGGACTTGAAATAAAATAATAAATAAATAAAAACCTATATTTTCTATCATTAACAAAATTCATAATGAGTCTTTATTGGGGGCATTTATGGCTGCAATGGTTTAGGTGTTGACACAGCACTCATCATTGTAAGGTGAATGTCTTGGGTTCGAATCCAGGCCCTGCATTCTAACTCAACATACCTACAAATGGATTTTTTTCAAACACACCGACACCTCGAGGGTTGAGATGATCTTTGTTTTTTGTTTTACGAGGGTTGACACAACAGCAGAGGTCAAATCACCCTTGAGGTGCCAGCATTTTTGGGAAAAAAATTTGTAAGTGTTAATGTCTATTTGTTTAGTAGTCATAATTGACCATGATAATTATTTCAGTTAATTACATTTTTTATGTAAGGTCTTGGTTGAGATATTGTAGAAAATATGGCAAAAAGAGGGAAAATTTCAAAAGAAGTCATAATAGCTTAAGAGGTTAGAGCAGCAGCGTATTAGGCCAAATGTTGAGGGTTTGAATCCTGCTCATGACTCTAACTTTTTCATCTCAACTAAGACCTTAGATAAAAAGTATAATTAATTGAAATTTGTAGGTATATGGGGTTCTAATGCAGAGCTCCTGGTTTCAAACCCAGGATCTTTACCTTACTGTTATGAGCACCGTGTCAATGCCGAAACTGTTGCAGCCACTGATGTCCCTTATAATCACTATTCTTAATTAAAATTATATGGGCTATGCTGAGATACGCATGCAACGGTGAATATGAGTCAGATGCCCCAACGACCCAGCCACCATGGTCTACCTGATTCTAGTAACTGCAATATCAATATTTTGATCAACTATTCAATCTAACTTACACACTACACTGAGCCAGCATGCCCCCTGAGACCACCCATACAGGATCTCACTCAAAACAGGATCATATTGCCCTCTTTCCCTTACAACGAACTGCTCCTGATGGCTGTGGATTAAAACATTGCATGGTTTTAGTATACCATTAAAAAGTTCCACCGCCATCTCGTAGTTCAGGGCATACGAAGACCAGACATAGTACATATGTTGCCCACAGTCCCCCAGTCGAACTGTCCCTGCAGGGCCACACTCCCGGGCACCTTCAAGCCTCAATTATAGTTAATTGATTCCACTACTATTTCATTTTTGAAGATGAAGTTGTAGATAGAGTTGAGAAATTTTGATGTATTTCTTTTGTCTAATATTAGATTCCAACACAAAGAGGTTTTGTACTTTGCGACAGACTTGAAAATATTTTCCCTTCCTGAAGATTTTAAAGAGCATGTCAGTATGATGTGGTTTGCAACTGCTGTTGAGGTATGGGCATTTGCTGTATTCTGGAGCCCCTATCTTGTGTAGTTGGAATGGGAGTCTATTGTGGTTGAATCTTAATCTACATACAGTTGTAAAAATTTTCCACTTTCTTTTAACATTTGAATACCATGGTTTAGTCAGTATGCTAGTTGGAAGATAGAAAACCGGAGGCCTTTGCTTTCGGTTGATCTTGTATTCGTTTTATGATTTCTTGTGCAATAAAGACCTATTTTGTGTTGATATATCAGAGGCTGAAATATCTTTTATGGGCTTCTCAATAGTCCTCCTTGACCAGTATATCAACCCGATTGTTCAACACGTTGCTGCTGAGACCTTTGACGCAAAGGAGATGAATTACTATATGCCTCCTAGAAGATAGCATAATGTTTTTGATTTGTAGGCTAATGGGATGCTTGGGATATCCGTTTTCTTTAAGGCCATTAACATATGCTATCCAAGAAAATGCTATCCAAGAAATTTACCACGTTAGTTGGTTTTAAATGTATTAAGCGTTTTATAGCTTCCCTTATAGCTACAGCTTCAGCAGCAAAAATCATACAGAAGGGGGATAGAGTGCTCATTTCTTATTGCTATAACAAAAATTAATTACAAGCCAATAGAAAATTCGGCTTGCTGCCCCAACTCCATATTGGCATTTTGAGCCAATGCCATGAGCATATATATATATATATATATATATATATACATACGCGCCAAACGCAGTATTTGAGCCTTCTTTGGCCAGGCTATCCACCTCTTCATTGCCATAGTGTCCCTTATGAGCTGGTATCCAAATGAGGGTTACCCTATTATCGTACCTGGTAGCAATCCTATTAATAAGTTCAACAGTTTCCTCCACCAGCCTAGATGTTGATAGCTCTTTTTGTAATGACTTAAGACTGGCCTGACTGTCGGAAAAAATTCTAATGTCTTTTCCCTTGATCTTGTTATCCATAAGTGTTCTGTAGCAAACATTAATGGCCCAGATTTCCACCTGAAAAACAGAGGTGTTATTACCAAGAGGGGAGGAGATGCTGACCCCTAATTTAGGTATATGTATTCCAGCACCACTTCCCTTGCCTTTAATGAGTGAGCCATCGGTAAAACAGTCTAGGCTACGATGGTCATCTTCCGAACTATAGTTATACTCACATGGAGTAACTACCTGAAAGTACTTTTCCCCCGAAGGGGTTTTAACCTTTTTATCGCTAACGCTTAGTAGTTGGCTGTTGACTTTACTCAATAATTGTAGAATTTTCGAGTGGTTACAACTGCCTTCACTAATTATTCTATAGCAGCTGGTTAGTACTCTAACCTTAACCTCTATGTGTAGAGGTGTAGTGTTGGTTATAATCTCAAGTGCTAGGGTGGGTGTAGTGGAAAATGCTCCCGTCATCATCAAACAGCCTAGTCTTTGAAATGATCTTAACTTGTTAATAGTCCCTTTATTTTCTAGCCCTTTCCACCATACTACGGCTGCGAATAGAAATCTAGGTAGTATAATTGCGGTATATATCCATTTGGCCACCCAAGGTTTGATACCCCATGTTCTACCAACAATTCTCCTGCATTGCACTATACTGTGCCTTTCCTGTGTACGTTTTTAATGTGGCCTTTCCAATCAAGTTTCCTATCAAGCGTTACCCCGAGGAATTTGATTGAATCCCTTAATTTTAATTCAATGCCCTGAAATTTAGGGTTTTTGAAATTACCTAGTGTTCTTCTCCTACTAAACATTATCAGTTCCAGTTTAGCCGGATTAATTGAAAAACCTTTATCACAACACCACTCGGAAAGTAGCCCCATTGCCTCCTTCATCAGCAGTGAAAGAGTCAGGGGATCTCTACCCGTGATCATTATGGTACCATCATCTGATAATAATTGGCTGTAGAAACCTGAATTATTCAGAAGCTCTATTAAGCTATTTACTGTGATTAGGCACAGAAGAGGGGAAAAGCAGCCTCCCTGGACAGCCTCCTATGACATTAATTCTAAGAATGCTACTACCTAAGCACATATGCCATCCGTCCCTCCAAGTAGGTTTTCACCCATCCTGTGAGATGTTGGTCTACATTGTATCTATTAAGTGCTGATAAAATGCAGGAAGTATCTGCATTATCAAACGCCCCTTGGATATCAAAGAAGCACCCAAACGTGTATTCTTTATTGAGTAATGATTTCTCTATCTTTCCTACCAGTGAATGCAAAGCAGTTTTCACTGATTTTCCTGGTAAATAGGCATGCTGATTGGGTTGTATCATGGTATTAATTCCACAGTCATGTCTAATGTACTTATCTAGGATTGTCTCTATTATTTTTATGAAAATAGAAGATATACTTATGGGTCTGTATGATTTAGGTAATTGATATAAGACCTTACCTGGCTTGGGTAAGAAAATTACCGTTATTTCCTTCCAGCATTTTGGTATGTATCCCAATGCCAGACTACTCCTTAGGAGATCCCAAACTGTGCTAGATAGACTAGGTGTATCCTGTTGTAGGAGGGCAGGGAATATTCCATCCATCCCGGCTGCCTTGAACTTCTTGAAGGAATGTACCACCCATTTGTAGGCCTCCCAAGAGATTACCTCATATGCCTTAATCCAATTTGGTACAGGTAGTTCTACCTTGGTTTGAGCATCGGAGGAGCCTGACCTGGGGAAATGAGCCCTGGCCATTAGGTTCAATGTCTCCTCGCTAGTTGTGGTATACTCCCCATTTTCATCCTGTAATAAACCTAGAGGATTATTGTAATCTTTTTCCAAGAGTTTAAAAATTCGAGCACTTTTCTTAATATTTTCTGTCTTCAGACAATATTCCCTCCAGGCTTTTCGTAAGTTCGTAAGTGTAAACAGCCATAGTCAAGGGGCTTTTTCCAGTCTCAGAAATATACTCCCACTCCGCAATGAAATGGCAGTTAAAACAAAAATAAAAATAGCCAGATAATGTGTAATATGAACCTGTTATCATTTTGATTGAACACATAGGTTAAAAGTAACAATATAAATTAATAAAAAAACTATATTAAGAATGCAAATCGACATTTTCATAAATTGTAAAATTAATTCAATCTTTCTTGTGTATTTATTGTGAATTAAATCGACACGATGCATGAGTAGATTTATGCACTGCACACAAATTACACATCTTCTTATTGCATGCTTTCAAGGATATTCCCAGAGTATTACAGGTAAGTAAGCATGTTTATCGAATGTAATTTGTACATTTCACGCTTGAATTATTCACTATTAGGATAAAAATATTTTGATTTTCTTCTTGTGTCTGTAGTATTAGACAGTTTTTCAATTTTCCGTACTAAATTTTCTCTCCTTCATAGCACAGCTGAGTTAACTTATAATTAAATAACCAAATTTGAGTATTCATAGGGTTCAAATGTAAAAGGTAAAATGTAAAGTAACATTTTAAATTTTAATGAGTGCAATCAATTGGAATACTTACTATGCGGAGAAATTATTACAAATCGGAGTGATTCTGTCATAGCTGTGTTTGTGTACATGTATATATAACTTAATTATATATGTTGTAATTGTAGGTCTCCATTCATCGAGCCTGAGCTGACTGCAGCAGCAGAAATACATACGAAAAGTAGATCTCCCATCTACAGTCCGTTAGGTTGTGAATCTGCAAGTGATCGGGAAAGTGAATATGTTGACTGTGATTGGATTGATGATCGGATGACTGGTGTTTGTTCCCCATTGACTTCAAAAGAAATAGAAGGCAAACCGCCTGAAACTTTTTTCTCGTCGTCTAGAAAATTAAGTGCTAGTTCGTGTGAAATTGAATATATTAGTCAAGTGATATCGGGTGATGAGATAAGTGAACCTAAAAAACCTAAACCAGCTGAAAGTTATAGCAATAAAGCCATTGTGTTAAAAATAGATAAAAATAGTTTGTCTATCAGTGACGATACTCTTGACTTTGTAAAAGAATTAGATAATGTTCAAAGACCTTCTGTGAATACTTCGATTTTTTCTAGAGAACGTTCATTAGAATCATTACATAGTTGTAAAGTTCATGTTCAAAATGTTAGAGAATTGAGCAAAGGTCTTAGCGAACCAATTCTAAATAGTGATAAGAAAAAAAGTGAACATTTTAGGACAAGAAGAGAACTTTCTAGAAAAGGAACAATGACTGTGACAAAAACAAGTTCAGCTATTCTACTCGCAAACCACTGGGGCCCTCAACGAGCTGTTCATATTGACAGGGAGCCTAAAAGCAGCCTTGGAATCAGCATAGTTGGAGGAAAGGTATTATCATACACATACAATCCAATATCCTAACCTCTAAATGTTTAGGCGCCCTCTATTATTCTCTCTTTTTTTTTTCTTTTTTTTCAGGTCGATCTTTATAACTCAGGTCCAGACAGCTCTTCAGCTATCTCAGGAATATTTATAAAAAATGTACTCCCTAACAGTCCAGCTGGACGCACTGGAGAACTCAAGGTAAAATCATAAGTAGTCAAGTACAAGAAAATTGTGTTGTTATATTGGCAACTTAATTTGTTACAATGCCGAGACAAGGCAGTTTCTTAAACTGGTTTCATTTTGAAATAGACTGGAGATCGCATCCTGGAAGTTGATGGAATAGACCTCAGGCATGCAAGTCATGAACGAGCAGTTGAGGTTATTCGTGCTTCAGGCAATCCAGTAAAATTTCTAGTACAGTCTCTTGTACAATGGGTATGAACTATTTTGTGATAGAAGATTGAAATTATTACTAAAATGAAACAAATTTAGGGTGCTGATGACTCTGCAAGTGAGAGTAGTTCAACAAAGGACGTGGATGACAAGCTTAAAGCCTTATCATATTCTGAAATTTGCCAAGGCGATACCAGTACTAGTGAAATAAATGTTAGTTGACATGATCTCATCATCTGCTATGAATGATAAATAATGCTTTCCTTTTATATAGATAAGTAATGAAGAAACATTGAATGATGTTGTCGATATTAAAGTATCAACTGAATCAGACCCGCCAGTGAAAGACACTTTAGACATATCAACTTCAAGTCCTCCTAAATTTGTTAGCCAAGTGCCTGAGATTGTTGTACCCAAACCTGATCACATTAGTTCAAGCGAGAGTGAAGAAAGCGAAGATGATGAATATCAAGATATGGAAGGAAAAATCCGCACAGCTGCTGGAATGGAGGTATGCTCAAAACTCAGAAATTTGTACAGTTAATAAGAACAAGAAATTAAAAATTAATATGTTATCAAATGAAAGGATAAACTTCAGCACAAGGATTGTAATTAATATCAAATTAATTCAAAATTAATTTATTAGGGAAATGATTTCTTAGAGTGCTGAATGAAATTTTGGTTTTGTTGATTCACATTTTAATATAATAATTTCAAAAACAAATAATTATTCAGATATCAAGAGCAAGTGCTGGAAATGTGAAGCGAAGCAAAGAGGAAGCATCTAAAGACCCAGAAAAAGAAGACATCTTCGGATACACCACAAGTGAGTAATAATGTATACTGTTCAACATTCATTCTTTATGAAAAACATACTTCAAAAAATTAAAACAGAAATATACTTAAAAGTGCATGTTTTTTAATTAGTTTGTTCATTGAAAAAATATATTTAATTGCACAGCTGAACATTACATGACCAAAACAAAGGTCACCTTATTTCACCGAGGTATAAGATTTAGGCACTTCATACTGTCTTTAACAGCATTAAATCTGTCTTTGTATTTTATTGTGCTGTCCTGTGCACAGAGGTTAACTGCATTATATATGTCTCAGGGGTGTTCTAGCATTAAAGATTGGATATTAAACCATTTATGGAATAGATTGGATGGCCCTGTTAAGTTGAAATTTTGTTAGAATTACTCGGAAAAACTGCTGTGAGGAAGTTCAATAGAGTAGTGCTCTGTGGACAGTGCGGATAATACTGTGCAAGTGCCGTAGTCGGAGAGATTTGGGAAGGTCCTCCTGTCACAATTCTTGATGTTTCTGTTGGCTGGCTTGTACAAGAAGATTATCTTAGACCCAGCTAGGATGCACGTATATATATTTTTGCTAAAGTTAAACAGTAGCTGAGTATTTTTACATGCAGTTCAATTATAATTGCACAGGGAGTGTGTTAACAATGTCTGCATTATTTATTGGACATTTTACCCCTAGAGGGTTAAATTCTAATAGTCACAGATGTTAATTTAGATTAAATAAGGGAATAGAACATAAGATGAGGTTTTGATGATTCGCTGAGAGTACTGGGAAGCGAGGGTTTGATATTCCAAAAGCCTTTTGGCTTATTGTATTTTTGTTAGTTTCTTAGTTATAGTCAATTGATTCAATCCTACTTTTAAGAAGTAGCAGTGTTGACAGTTTTTGGTGCAATTTGCGGTTTCTTCCTTCTCATTGCATAACCTACAACTTGTGTCACATTGAATATAGGTTTCATCAGATGCCAGGGACTGTGTACAGCCCTATCACCTGAATTTTACCCTTTCTGGCTGTAGTAATATGCATGATATGTCTGCCAACTATTGGGTTTGTTCACTTCTCCTTTTGACTTGTATGAATCTATTCTGTGATGGAGGATTCTATGTTTGTTTTTGTAAGCTCAAGTGTTATATAGATATTTTCTCAGGTGCCAGGACCGATATATAGCCCTATCACTCTTGAGTGAGCCAGTTTTGGTAAGGGTTTCTTTTAACCATGAGTTTTCTGTCTGGACTACTCTCAAGTTTGACCGTTCTCCTTTTGCTGACATCTATGTTTGATTTTATTATCCCTAGTATTAGTTCTTGGTCTTGGAGATCCTTCTGTGGCCAGTTTGTCTGCCAGCTCTTTATACAAAATTCCTTGTGCTCTGGCACCCAAGATGTTAGGTTATGTTTTCGCAGGATTTAGAGGTTAGGGGTGCTTAGACTTCTTTGTTGTTTTTAGGACCTCTCGGCCGTCTGATATTATTTTTCGTATGCAAAAAAAAAACACTTAAATTTTTCTATGACACAAAGATTAGTAGCATATATTTCAGCTTGAAAGAGAAAGGTGTTTTCTGGATTTATGTTCATTCAAGATCATAACCAACTTGTGAATACACATAAATTTAATTTACACAAGTTCGTTTATTTGAATAATTGTACACATAATAATGTAATAGTAATTCTGGTGGGACAATGAAACAATATAATGTTATAAAATAACCGTAAGGCCCGCTTGAAAATCCGACGACCGAGTGCCCCCCCCCCCGACGTGCTTTCCCTACAAATTGAAAACGTGAACCCTGGAACAATTAAGCGAAAGCTTTTTAAATGCGGTAGACGCTTTTTGGCATTCCCAACGCCTTCGGCCCCCTTAATTCGGTTCACTTACAAAAGTTAAATTAATAATGATATACTTTAGGAATAAAAGACATTTTTCAGGTACGTTTTCTTATTCACGTTTTCCGTTTTTGAGCCAGTTTTTTTACTTTGTTCTAATTTTAATGTAACTTTTAAATATCTTGCATTAATGGCTGAGGTTTTTCCTTAAGATACATGAATAGTTTTGCCATTTAATAATAAAACCGCGGCATAAAAGCCATAAAATTCTCGGGAGTAGAATGAAAACGAGGTTAGATAAATAGACACATCTGGGCGGCGCCTGTCTTTTAATAGTCATAACTAGGATAATAGGATCGATTCGAAAGCTTATGTAAGCTTTGTAAGAAGCCCGTTGTACAAAACCTCGCAGGTTTTTTTTTAAAACATACGAGGATTGCCCTGTTTATATCCATAAAAAGGGCAAAGTTACAGATACCAAATAAGAAAGAAGTCAGGTTATCAGCCTTTCTAAGATAGCTAGCTTTTAAGCTTATTTGAAGATTTTCCAATTGCTTGCATGAATTATTGCGTTATGGAATGTAAAAATGAAACTATTTTAATAGTACGTACAAGAACAACATCGTTATAAAAGAAACCATTAAGTTTATTACTTTAGACCGTCTGAAGCATGTTTTGTTTGATACAACAGAAGAGTTTCTTCGGCAAAACCAGCAAAAACATCATCATCAGTGTGTTTCACACAACCGCCAACAGTAGGAAACCAGTCAGTACAGTGGCCAACATACACTGGCTTTCATGTGCCGTTTTTTAAAGTTTTAATAGAGTTGCATAAGTAGTTGACATTGAAATATAGTATCACTTCAGGAGTTTAAAATTCTGAACCATTTTAATAATTACTACCCTTGGTTCTAATTCCGTTTACATGTAGTTTTTTCTCACTTCTTATGAGGGAGTGATGTGGAGGCTAGAATGGTATTAAGATCTAGATGGCAGGTACATTAAACAACTTTATAACCTAATCCGTATATTTTCTAGTTGATAGTGATCGACCTCCGTAGTTTAAATTGATGTATTGGATCTTCTTGATCTCTTTATTCACCTGTAAAATGACCTCAAGAAGATCCAATACATCAATCTAATCCGTATATGTTTAGTATTCATAATTGTCCTATCGTATTAATTATTTTAATTAATTACACTTTTATGTAAGGTCGTGGTTGAGATGAAAAAAGTTAGTGTTACGAGCGGGATTCGAACCCATGACTTTCGGCTCAATACCCCACTGCTCAAACACCTTAACACTCAAATCGTGACTTCGAACCACTAGGACAACAACTCCTCATCTCAATGTACAATCCTTCGAATTTTCCGTTTCCTTTGGAAAATATGGCAAAAAGAGGGAATATTCGAAAAGTTATAGGCTGAGATGAGGAGTTGGTGCCCTAGCGGATCGATGTCACGATATCTCAAGTGTTTAGAGTATTGGCGTAATGAGCCAAAGGTAGTGGGTTCGAATCCCGTTTGTGACACTAACTTTTTCATTTCAAGACCTTAACTACAATATATAATTAATTTATAATCTAACCTAACCCATCATCCTCGTGAACCCACCACCATTACATATTTTCATGCATGGTGGAACCGCAGTTCACAGGTAATGACTAATTAAAGCTTCGGGAAGAACTCCAGGTAGACCAGGTTCAGGGAATGCCATGATCCAAAATTCAAATTTGCTAAGATATTTCAAATTGAAATACCCGATACAGCATCTGCTTGACGACACCTGTCCTGAACCCTTTTGCGGGATTCCAAACCGCCAAAAACGTACATCCATCAGACAATCGGATAGTTATAATAAGTTCTCGGTTCAATCAACCTGCGAATAAATTCAACAAAGGATCATGGCAGAAACTGAAGGTAGATTTAAGACTATAATGATTGGTAGGACTGCTGACTGGACTCCACAGACTCCAGAGGCATATAGACTCGTAGCATTAGAAACGAGCCTATGTAAATATTGCTTAGAAGAAGAAACAGCGGGACATGTCCTCCGTAGGTTCATATGTCTTTGCTCTTTTTAACCTTCTGACGCTGTTCCGATTACGTAGGAGTTTGGTCGCTTCCACATTGTAAGGCCTTATTCCTTACGTACCAAGGTGCATTAACCATATTACATAAGATTTTATCTTGGAGTATTTGTATAATTTTAATAAAGCTGTTTTTGGTTACAACCCCATAGTTAATTATGATGGTTATGGTGATGAGGATACTACGAAGCGGGGTTTGTCCTCCCCAGGAACCGCAGCTTTCTGGCTTATTGTACCTTCCTAGTTCCCTATATCAATGCAATCGACTCAATCCTTCTTCTCAGAAGTATTAGCTCATTGGCTGTTACTGCTACAAATTCATTCCCTAGGTTTTTGCCGTGTTTCCCTAGGTTAAATCTCCATTGAGTCGTAGCCTTACATTCGAAGATGATATGGGGGTTCAAGCGGAAGTGTCTGTAGTGCCCAGAAGGTCAAGATCTGGCACCTACATGGCTATCCTAGTGGTTTTTATGATTTCTCTATTTATCCCATGAAGAGATGGTAGTCACCGTTGCCAGCCATTCCTTGGCGCTTTGGTTTTCGCATGTTATCCGGACAGCCCCTTTTCTAACGTACCCATTCATGAACTGAGGTCCTTCGGAGTTTTTACAGCTCCAAACCTCAGTCAGTATGGCCCGCTGAACGGCCCTGCCCTGATCGGCTGTTAGCTCTATTTTTTTTGTGGCGGCATGAGCACTTCCTGGGAACACTTTCACTCGATGATGGGGTGCTACTCAATGACCAACACCTTGCTACTCAATGTGCTTTTTGCCACTTTTTGTTGGCGTTGGCTCCGGTTTTTTGGGGTCATCGCTTCCATTGTTCGGCCTCGGTGCCGCAGTCCGGAAATGAACATAAGGGCTTTGCTTCCCTTTCCTGATTCTCTTCAGGATTGGCTCCCCTTATTGTTTGGCTCTGTCGATTGCCATTTTACGCCTCTGTGCCCCTGATATTTTTCTTACGTTTGAGGTGTAGTTTTCCAATGTTCTCCGTCACCTCCATTTGAGTGGTTTCATCTTCTGGTTTGGTTTTTTCCTTAAGACCCCCCCCCCTTCCAATGTGCAAATGGTGACGCGAGGAGACTGTCCTCTAATCCT